CGAACGCCGGATGGCTTGGTTTTTGGCTTGGATGAACTCCAAGTGTTTTGACCCAAGTTTAAACTTAAGAAAAGTATTTTTGAACATGTAAAAGAGATTTTTATGAATTAAGCCTAGAGAGCCAAGATTTGGAATTTTGTGCTGGTCTTGATCACATTAAGACCGACTCAATACAATTCTAGTTCTTCGTTCTTGATTCTGGGTTCTTGGTTCTCAATTCATCATGCCATGTTCCTTCGCCTTAGTTTTGCTCACTTTAGCTTCAATATGTCGCGGCGGTTTGGCATTATCAAAACTTGTCATAAACGAACACAGTTTAGTACGACGTAGGCGTAAACCCGTGTTCCAACAAAATTTATTACGGAGTATTTGTGTATTGAAATTTCTACTTTTTAATCACACACTCGTCTCCGAAAAACCTTTCTGTTTTAATTTTTTTGTCAAATTTTGACAGTCTTTAATTACAAAATAAACAAACAACAACAACAACCCAGTTAAATCCCACAAGAATAGGGTCTGGGGAGGGTGTGTGTACGCAGACCTTACCCCTACTCGAAAGTAGAGAGGCTGTTTCCAAAGAGACCCCCGGCTCAACGTCGAAAGTTGCATTACTTGACTAACTGCTACTTCATTAATTAAAGAAGCGCAGACAGTTTAGAGATCCATTTTGATTTATTCCATCACACCCCAAAGCCAAAAAATTGGTGAAATTTTGGCTCCATCGGAGATGATGGAAAGAATTACAAAATAAACAGGACTTAAGTAAATAAATATTATAGTAAAATTAAAATTTGATATATCAAACTATATCCTAAGATTAATTTAATTATATTGAATTTATATTATAATTATATCCTAAGACGAATGCAATTGTAGTGGAGGGTGAAGCAGTGTGGCGGGAGAGGGTGATAGTGGACTAGTGGTGACAACATGGAGAGGCAGTGTAGCAACAAAAGAAGGCAATGCAGTAACCCAAATTAATACTTCGTATAATCTTAGAAAATAAGAAAAAAAGGGTAGAATGAGCGTATTAAAGATAATGTCACGCTAAATACTTTTATTGATGTCAAAAATGTCATAACAGTGCTAGATAAATAATTTCAGCTACATTATATCGATATATAAAAAAATCTTTTTTAAATAAAATATTTGAAAAAATCATTTTAAAAATTTACTCAAAAGATTTCCTTGGCAACAAATGAAATTTCTACTATAACGGAAGGATCACCATAATATCAAATCATTGTGGATTTTATATGTTTTTTTCGGAAACAAATCATTTTAGAATATCTTCACCATATCAATTGTTTGGATATCTATCCAAAAAAAAGAAAAGAAATTGTTTGGGCGATTCTTTCTTTCCAATCTTTTGGACACCCAAGAATCCAAGATCACAGCCGGGCATTTGAGAGTTTAGAGTGCTCCAGCAATTCTTCTCGTTCCACACTTCTAGGCCCAAATACAGCGATTTACCTGTAGCAATCCATCTCCCTATCAGAGTCTGCTCAAGTCTCCGGCGAGTCGGCTGCCGGCGCTGCGCTTCCCCTCCTCGCCTCTGTCATCACTGCTACTGTCGTTGGCGCTCTGATATAGGTTAGGTTCTACTTGTTCTGCGGAGTATTTGTTTTGCTCTCCTTTCTGATTTTAGAGCTTAATTGTTTATAACTTACTGATTTGATGTATGGGAATAAGAAATGCTCCATAGTATGATAAATTGAGTTTCAGGCTGGACTGGACATCTCGGAATCGTGTGATTCGGCTGTTTTAATGCCTGCATTTCGTTTCCTACCCGAAAAAGGTTTTGACTTTTGACATTTTAAGTCTTCAGCAGTTTATTCCTAGAACCCAAATTTTATTTGCTTTTGGTGTCAATTTTTGACCAAATTTTGGGTGGTGCAATTGTAGGGGGTGCAGTGGGGGCATTGGGTATGGGCTGAGGTGGGGAGATTTACCGGGGGTTATGGGGTAGAAGCTGTCAGTTTTGGGATAGGAGCACCGTAGGGGCGTCAATTGAGTTGGTGTTACAATTTTACACCAAATTAATGGTGTAAGATTACCCCTTCTCTTAAAAAACAATGAAAATACTAATAATGAAAAGTTCTTTAAAATGTGACTGCCCCCCAAATGATATCCCTGCCCTTTAGGTGTTGCCACGTATCACAAAAATATGCTCCCACTTCATTCTTGTGTTATGTGCCAGCATCTGAAGGTGAGACAACATTTTTGGGACAAGGAACCCGCTTTCGAATGTTACCTACTTGTGGTGAAGTTAGCACACTGGTAGTGGCAGATTTCCAATGAAACAAGCTGCAGAAAAATATGATCTTTACACCATTTAAGTTCATGACCCAAGTCCAAGATGCATATTATTTACAAAGTCCAAGGTGATCTGGCCTTAAGCCTCGCGGTTTAATAATCTGTCAAAGTAATTGTTTTGTGCTTTGAGTAATCATGATCTCTTCCTCACAACCCTTCAAAAATGCAGTACCTAACTACCTATGAGCAGTTACGTAGTAAGTTTATCTCCACTGACTTGATGCACCCTGTATTAGGGCATTTGTGGTAGCTTAACTGTGTAATGCATGATCTTATGCCATGTTTTGAATTTCATTTATGTAAAACGCGGTTGGTGTTTTTAAATCTCATGTAAATTTTAATATTTTCATTTGCAGCTTTAGAGGCAACTGACATGGACGGAACAACTCAGTTTGATGATGGATTTCCATCGGCTACTTTGTTCAGCCAAGGTTATTCCTATACATACGATGATGTCATATTTCTTCCTGGGTATATCGACTTCCCAACTGACGCCGTTGACCTATCGACTAAACTTAGCCGCAACATTTCATTATCCTTACCTTGTGTTGCCTCTCCAATGGATACGGTTACGGAGTCCTCGATGTCTGCTGCCATGGCAGCTCTAGGTGGCATTGGCATCATCCATTCTAACAACACCCCTTCTCAACAAGCCTCCATAGTTCGCTCTGCCAAGTCTCACAAAATCCCTTTCACTGCTGACTTGATATTCCTCTCCCCTGGTGATTCCATCCACTCCGTTGATGAGTTCGGTTCAAGTCCCTGCGTATTCGTTACTGAGTCAGGGACCCAGGGGTCCAAACTATTGGGAGTCGTATCCAGGTCAGCATGGGAGTCTTTGGGTAACAAGGAAGCTAGAGTTTCAGATTACATGACAAAATCACCGGTATCATTGCCCTCAAGCTACAACTTTGAGGATGTAGCTGGGTATTTAGAGGCAGAAAAGCTTGAGTATGTGCCATTGGTGAATGAAGAGGATGGTGAAGTAGTTAATTTGGTAACCAGCGCTAATGTGCAGACTATTAAGGGATTTCCTAAACTCGGTTTGCCATCACTGAGGCCGGATGGAAAGTTCCTGGTTGGAGCAGCAATAGGGACAAGGGAATCAGATAAAGAGAGGCTTGAGCAGTTGGTGAAAGCAGGGATAAATGCTGTGGTTATTGACAGCTCACAGGGATATTCTCTTTACCAAACTGATATGATCAAGTTTGTGAAGCGTACATATCCAGAATTGGATGTCATTGGGGGAAATGTGGTAACAAGTTATCAAGCTAGGAGTTTGATTCAAGCCGGTGTTGATGGGTTAAGAGTTGGGATGGGATCTGGCTCCATCTGTACCACACAAGAGGTTTGTGCTGTTGGACGTGGTCAGGTAAGACCTTGAGATTTCTATATCTTTTTTATCATTTTCCACAACTTCTTTTCAATATTAGCTATCAATTCACACATCTAAATGCAATGCTAGAAGTAGTTTATCTACTCTTGGACTGTGAAGCTTTTAAAATCAATATAATGGTTATTCAGATCACTGTATCAGGCTAATCCCAACATTCATGCCTTTTTTTATCCGTGTTTTCCAAAAGAAGGGCTCTTGTTTGAGTAAGATGGAACCTTTTATTTTTAGTCAACCCAATCAAGGGACAAACTTTTATATAGTATGAATTTCACTTACACCCTTAAAACTTATATCCAAGATCGTTCGGAGTGATTGACTTAGCGCACACTTGCTGTTTGGCTTTATGGGAATATTACTTTAGTAATTAGTATGAGAGTTGAGTTTTAAAACCTGATGTTATTTGGGGGCAAAAAGGGTTCTTGAAACAAGACACTTTTTTGAAATGGGACGGGGAGGGGGGGGGGTGGAGGGGATGGGGAGGGAGAATTTTACACAGTGAAGTACCTCTTCTAGCTGTTTTCTTGGAATTCATGCAGAATTTTAATTTCTTACAACATAATGTCAATTTCTACCAATGGTTTTCAGGCTACGGCTGTGTATAAGGTGTCATCAGTTGCTCATGAGGAAGGCGTTCCAGTCATTGCTGATGGAGGAATAAAGAATTCTGGCCACTTTGTTAAGGCTTTATCCCTAGGGGCATCAACTGTTATGATGGGTAGCTTTTTAGCTGGAAGCAGTGAAGCTCCTGGCACTTATGAATACAATAAGGTACATCAGAATCATATCATTCATATGATTTCTTTCTTTGTTGCATCACAAAGCTGTATATTTCTTACATTATGAGTCATGATGCTTTTCATCTTTTGTTTTCATAGTGCATTCACCTTGGATAACTGCGTATTGCACATGCATTCACCTTATGAATTATGATGCCAATCAAATGATTAGTTTTAAAGAAGAGACTTGAAAATATTATTTATCAGGGGCAAACCATGTAAAAGAGCAATAAATATATGCTTCATATAAAAGTACATTGTCTTATAAATAGGACCATCGATTCCTTTCACAAGGTTTGTTTATGATGACTTGAGGGCCGAGTGATATCTTTTTTCACATGCAGGATGGTCTACGAGTTAAAAGATATCGAGGCATGGGATCATTAGATGCAATGACTAAAGGAAGTGATGCAAGATACTTGGGGGATACAGCAAAGTTAAAGATTGCTCAAGGGGTTGCTGGAACTGTGAAAGACAAAGGTTCTGTTCTCAAGTTCATACCATACACCATGCAAGCCCTAAAACAAGGGTTCCAAGACATTGGTGTTTCTTCCATCCAATCTGCCCATCAGCATTTGAGATCAGGCAAATTGAGACTAGAGGTTCGTTTTAAGCATCTTCGTCTGCCTTTTTTTTGCTGCAAACACATGGGTGAGGTTATACTTGGAAATGACAATGAGTTAGGTTTAGATCAGGTGAAGCTTCACCCTCGTCCATCCATCACCCTCTACATACATCATCCATCACTTGATTTATCCGTCATGCACGGGTGAAACAGATGATTTTAATCCCGGACCGACCAAAAACGTTTTCTTTACTACTAATAACATTTCATTAAATTTATCATGCATAAAGAAAAAATAGTACAGTGTAATAATAAGAATAAAACATCTATTTTGTTTTATACTACGGAATAATAGTACATCAAATTATCAATCATTCCTTTTTTCTGTGCAACGGAAGAACCCTTAATTTATATTACATATGCGGAGTAGTATATTGGTAGAATTATTAAAATTTTCACACAAATATACAAATGAGCATGTGCATCGGGTGACTGGTGGGAAAAATGTCCACATGCATCCGGTCCGATCCCTCACCCGAGACATCAATCATCCGAGTATCATCCATATTTTCTTTGTTGAGTTTTTGTCCATTTTATTGGGTCGAGTGGCTTGGATATACATCGGGTAGTGATGTGGATGTGGCTGTCAAGTGTCATCCCTAGATTTATGCTACTTGGGTTTGTGGCTTTGTGCAACTCAATGAAAATTTTTGTTGGGTTTGCGTAACACACACCCTCTCCGGATCCTATTTCTTTATGAGATTTTACTGGGTTTTCTTGTTCTTTGTAATAAAGATTTGTTGCCTGATATATATAGGTTCGAACTGGAGCAGCACAAACTGAGGGCGGAGTTCAGGAAGGCGGAGCCCATGGGCTGGTTTCCTACGAAAAAGGGAAGTATTTTTAAAAACCTTTCTTGTTTTACTATAATGGGAGCCTTCACAATTTCACATTCCCATAAACTACTTTAAATTTATGCACTCTGTTTTTTACGTTACGTCGAATAATGTGACTTGGATTTTCTTGAACACCGTCTAGACTTTTAGATGAACTTTTTTAGTCATTTTTATAGTGATACATAACAACAACAAATCTAATAAAGTATCACACATAGTAAGGTATGAAGAGGTGTGCATGCGTAGCTTACCCTTACTTGAAAGTAGAGGTACTCTTTCCAAGAGATATCCGGCTCAAACACATCCCTATAGACTTTATTTTAGAGAGTACATTTCATCACTACCGCGAAACTTCAACGGGGAGGGGGGGGAGGGCTAGTTGCCATGGCGAGCTACAAACTCGGGCTAGGTATCAAGTCGGAGATCAATCTGTGATCCAAGTGTAAGTAGATCGACCCCGTTCTTTTGGATTTTAATTTTTAAACTTTCGATATTCTTTGTCTTTTCAATTTCTTCCAAAGAAGAATTAGCCTAGTGGGACTTAAACATACACTATATGCCGAAATAGAACTTTCAGCTTCTGTTATACAAAAATAAGACTTAGAGAGTGTCTACATATAATGCTAAAAATTACAGTGAAATACTAACATACAATGCTTAGTGGTATTGTATAGTACAAATGTTCATATATAGAAAAGTAAAATAAAAAAAATATATGCTGTGACAGTGGCGCAGTGAGGCGATGACGGTGGGAGTGTGGTGGTAGAAGTACGGTGGCAATGTGGTTGTGGTTGGCACACTCTGATGGGCATATGGCATATTCACAATTCCTAAAACATGTACACTATGTTTGGTTCAAGAAATTTGAGAGGGAAAGAAAAATAAAATGACAAAGAAAATATTTTTCTTACTTAGTTAGAAAGGAAAAGAAACGAAAAGTAGAAAGAAAAAAAAGTGATGTGGAAAATATACTAAGAGGAAGGAAAATCAAATTCTCCCCATTTCGGTGAGGAAAACTGAGGGAAAATTATTTTCTTTTCTTTTCCTTCTAAAGTTCTGGAATCAAATATAGTGTTAGGGAATCAAATATAGTGTTAGGGAAGATGACTTACAATGCTAAAAAGTGAATCAAATTCACAATGCTATTGTTGCTATAAATTTTTTAAGAAAAATACTAGGGGTACACCATTTGGTGTATCCTATTTGTCCCTCACCCACTCCATTACCACAAAAATGGGCAAGTGTCTAAAAAATATTAAATAAATAAAAATGGAGTAAAAATAAGTGGTAGAGAAAGGGGTGGGGGACAAATGGGGTACCCTAGCATTGCTCATTTTTTAAATATGTTTGAACCACTTAGGCTCCGTTCCGTTCAACTTATTTTTTCTGATCTGATCTGATCTGATTCTAATAAGTTCTGATCTGATCTGGTCTGATTTGATCTGATCTGATCTGATTGGATCTGATCTGATTGGATCTGATCTGATTGGATCTGATCTGATCTGATTGGATCTGGTCTGATCTGATTAATTATGATTTAATTTAAAATTTCAAATCAATAATTTAATTTGACTTTATAATAACATTTGAAAATTGTAATTATAATTCATATTATAATATAATCAATATTTTTTATTTAATGATTATTTTTTAATAAAATAAAAATAGTTAATTCATATATTNTTTAGATAATCAATATATAGAAGAGATAGTATTTTTATTATAATATCTCATCCTTATAAAAGATCAAAAGTTTAGAAACTCAAATTACAAGTAGCAATAAAAATATATTTTAAAAGTAGAATTAGATTGACATTGTCAATGTATTTTAAAACTAATTTTTCCGACGTCTAATAATTAAGGATTACTTTCTCAGCTTTTTATTTAACCTATTTCTAAAGTTTATTCTTTTTCATTTTTAAGAACAATAATAATAATAATAATAATAATAATAATAATAATGACGATGATGACGATGATGATGATGATCATAATAATAATAATAATAATAATAATAATAATAATAATATAATAATAATAATAATAATATAATAATAATAATAATAATAACAATAATAATAATAATAATAATTTTTGATGAGATCTTATTTTAATAAGTCCTGATCTGATCTGATCTGATTGGATCTGATCTGATCTGATCTGATAGGATCTGATCTGATCTGATAGGATCTGATCTGATCTGATTCGATCTGATCTGATCTGATCTGATTCGATCTGATCTGATCTGGTCTGATCTGATCTGATCTGATCTGATCTGATTTTAATAAGAATAAGAAAAAATAAGTTGAACGGAACGAGACCTTATTCGACTAGTGATTTAGTGAACCAATATCTGGACTGGTTCATTCATCGGTCCTATTTTGAAAACTATCGGTCCTATTTTGAAAACTATGTTTTCTATATTGTTAAAATTAAAATGAGAACATCTCAAGATGAGAGAATATTATTTATCTAAAATGACTTTCTTAGCTGTATTGGTAACTTTAAGTGTAATTTTCATTCTTAAAAAAAAAAGAAAAAAAAGTGTAATTTTCAAATTACAAAAAGGTCATACTTCTCCACAACTTTGTAGTGTTGGTAGTATCACGACTCTCGCCATCATAATTACTGTTTAATACTCCGTCCGACCAAGACTTTTTGCATTTTAGAAAAATCAAATGAAATTTTAATATTTTTATTTAAAAATTGATATAAAATGTGACAAGAATATTTTATTTTTACAAATAATTAATCAAATGTACTAATAAATAAAAATTTCCGTAATTTTTAATAGTGAAAAATGTACTTCTCCCGCCCCAAATCAAATTGCATGTTTACTATTCACAGGATCAAACTTTATTCATTTTATTTCCTTATTTTAGCTAGTCATTTGATAAAATAACATAATCATCTGATTATTAGTTTTGTAGATCTTTTGATGTAGTTTTTAAATATGTAATTTTTATTTCATAAGTTTACACTATTTTTTATACAAAGTGATTTGAAAATAACTTTAATCAAATATCGTAAATCAAAACAAGCAATTTAAATTGGGACGGAAGGAGTAAGCTTTTTGTACAATTTTGTCTATGTATTCTCACAGTCTCACATATCATTAAAGTTCAAAACATGTACTCCTTCCGTTTCTTAAGATCTTACCTCTTTCATTTTTTTTGTTTTTCTTAAAACACTTCCCTTTTCTATTAAAAAACCACTTTTACCCCTACTTTTTCATACCCTACCTATCACATCATACTTTTTCACTAACAACTAGACTATCACATCTTATTTTTACCCATCACATCAAGGACAAAATTGGAAAGTCAATTACAATTTAACACTTCCTTATTTTCCCCCAAAGTCAAAAGAGAAACTCTTTTGAGAAACGGAGGGAGTATTTTTTCATTCAAATTTTTTTTAACTCATCATTATAACTTTCTTCCCACATAGAAAACTATTTTCGACAATATTCTCCCCTTTTTTCCAGTCGATGAAATCTCCGTCGTCATCGTCTTCAATTGACTCATCGGATTAATTATCAATTTCTAAAATGAGTGCTTTAGATTGGCTTCCGTTGCCTATTTTGGGATTAGATATTGTTGCAGCAACTCTTGGGATTGTCGCTGTGGATCTTCAACTTTCGGTATATTATCTTTATGCCCATATATTACTATTCATCCACATATACACACTCACGCACACACATAGGGTGCGGTTCAAATGAAAATGAACCATAAGAATAGACGTTATCGTGAGAATAATGCATTCTGGGGCCACCATGATACATATTCCACCTGCACACTGCAGGTGCATTTTCATCACTCGCTGGAAGGTTCTTATTTGATTACACAATTACCACTGTGACTTTTTCAATAAAACATTTTACAATAATTGTACAACACTCCGTTTGAGGTACCCATTCGTAAAATTGATTGTTATTAACCCTAACCCGTTACCCACTGCTCACCATAATTAAGTACCTCAAACGGAGTGTTGTACAAATGTTGTACCTCGAATCGAGTGTTGTATACATTATTTGAGGAGTATATATATGTTTTTTTGTGTTTTTGTGTTGAATGTTTGGTTTGGGAAGAACAGGCGTCACATTGTCATGAAGGTGCAGTGTATGGACAGAAGCTTGTGGTGCTTAGGGGTGGTGTTGTAATTATTCTTCTGATTTCCCAGAGTCTCCTCTTAGGCTACATAACTCGGACCGACAGTGAATCAATACCTACAATCACTAAAGCTTGGTTTGCTTGCTCATGGTATGTATTGAAATCACCATAAGTAGGACTAAAGCATAGGAAAAAAAGTACCAAAACAGGAGCTTCATGTTTTTATTTTCGTAATAAGACTTTATGATGTGGTAATGTGGATGTAATTGGCACCGTACAAGTGCACATTATTAGGTGACATTGCTATACTTTTTGGTAATGAACATGACCATGTATGGTAATGTAAATACATTTTAACTCATCACATTTCAAGAATAAAAATATAGAAGTCTTATTTTAATATATCTTCAATGTTTTACTCTTACTTCAGTCTTTTTCCTTGTATCCATTATATTTTTAAACACGGACGTACGTACGTAGTGACGACGTATTGTACAGGATGGCATTGCTGGTAGCAACGGGATTATTATTGATGGAAGAATATATGGGCGGGATCGGCGCTACAACGTGCACTTTGTTTGTAGGGTTTGAAGTCATTTGTTGCGTTTTTCACTTCATCAGTTGCTATTGTTGCATTCGACACGAGACTATGGAGGAGGAGGATCTTCTTAACTGTAAGTGCGGGCGCCCATAATCAAAATACATCAAAAGTCATGTTTGCGAGTTATTACATTCCCATACACAACATATGTATCATGGTGTATATATACTATGTGTATTGCCCATGTATACTCCTCTTTTTCAATAAAATAAAATAATGGTGCTCTATTTCTCTCAAAATTTGTGTTTATGTTTTACCCCCTCTGTCGCACTGTATTTATCCACTTTGATATTTTCGAATCAAACAAAAAAAACTTTGGACTTCTTCTAAACAAAATTTGTAAAGTATATTAGTGTGAAAACGATATTATTAGATCAATCTTGTTGAGATCTTTCAAATTTTAGTTTCATTGTATTAATATGTCATAAAAATTAAGAATAATTGAAGTTTAAAGCTATCTAATCTGAAAATAAAAAGCTTCAAGGACTTATTATACTTTAAGA